AAAAAAAACATTTTATATATATATATATATATATATATATATATATACTGTATATAGGCTAATTAAAATTATATATAATATAGTTTTGTGACAAATGGATGAGAAAATTACAGTGCCTTTCTCTGCAGCTCGGAATGTTGACAGCAACATTAAATAGCATAAAGAGAATTAACATTTGCTGTGCTAATAAAATTAACATTTAAATACACAAATAGCATTTTAAATAACTTTTCTTAGTTATGCCACTCCGTCATTTGAATCATCAGAACGTCTGTAGCTTCAGACACTTGAATCAATGCTTTTGACTCATAACATGAGAAAAGATCCTAAACACTGTTATGTTTCATGTATATCATCAGCTGTAACTCGTACACAGATTTACATAGAGATGATTTGCATTGCAGCACAAGCTTCAGGAGGTTTTATAGCTCTGTGAGTTTGAACTCTGAGAATCTGAACCAACAGCAACCATGAGCTTCATCACCATCTTCATCTGGATCTTCACTAGCTACTGCTTCACAGGTGAGGAAATAAACTGTTTTTATTCTTTTTTTTTAATTCTAACTGATCCTCTGGGTTAAAATATTGTCCTTTAACACATAATTCTAAATGTATTTATTTTTCTTAATGTACTCTAGAATCAAGAGGTGAAGTGACAGTCACTCAGACGCCTGCAGTGAAACCTGTTCAACCAGGAGACACAGTTACCATGTCCTGTAAAACCAGCACTGAAGTTTACCAGGGTTGGGGTTATCAGCCTCTTTCCTGGTACTTACAGAAACCTGGAGAAGCTCCTAAACTCCTGATTTATAAAGCAAACGTCCTCCAGTCAGGAACTCCATCTAGATTCAGTGGCAGTGGATCTAACAGTGATTTCTCTCTGACCATCAGTGGAGTCCAGACTGAAGATGCTGGACATTATTACTGTCAGAGTTTCCACTACATAAACAGTATACATACAGTATATTCACACAGTGATAAAGAGTGGTACAAAAACCTCCGTCAGTCAGAGTCACAGTGATGAACTGATGCTGCAGCTGCTCAAACACTATCACTCACTCAACAGTGAAGAAACAAATACGATCTTGATATTAATTTTTTTGAGGTCCATCATTATTTTTTTGAAGATTATTAAAATTATTTTGATCTTTTTTTTTTTAGATCTTTTATGGTTTATCTCTTCTACTTTCCACTCACTCATTTTTCAATCCATGATGTATTTTTATAATGCATCATTTCTTTCTTCTTTCTAATTATATATTCATATTCCAAAAAGAACCAGCAGGACATAAAGGTGTTGCTGCTGAATAGTTTATTCATCATCTTCCAGTCAAAAGTCTCCGTCCCTAAACAGTTAATTCATAAGTTGTGTAAGTCTTATAAAACTACCTCTCAAACTCTATAACTGTCTCAGCACTGCATGAGCAGAAGTGAAACTGATCCAGTTCAGAGCGTTTAACCGATCAAACAGTGAAACTGTGAGTTTGAATTTTCATGGATATTAAAAATTAAATATAAAGCATTTATTTAGTTTTACACTTGCTGAATGTTAATCTAACCCACTTAATCTTATTAAATTTGTCTAATATTTGTGAGGTTCATAATGTTTCATCGTGTATCTGCAGGTGTTTTCATGGTCCATTGAGTTAACTTTCTAAATATTTAGTTTTAAATGTGAGTTAAAGCCCTGATCCAAAGAAAGACCCATATCACAAAAATCACAAAAAAGAACACAAAGATTTAAAGTTACAATTGTATTTTATTTATTGAGCAAATTTGAATAGAATCACAACTGAATAATAAATCACACATATAGTCTTGTATGAAGCACACAAAGCAGAGCAGATGCAGATGCGAGCGACTGAAGCTGGATGTGGAGAATGAAGGAGTCGCTCATGTGCTGTTAGTCTCCATGTGAGACATGAGTGAGAAGAGCAGCAGATCTACTCTGAACACTGCTGTCTCGTCACGTGTCCAGTGAGCGCAGGCTGGCCGCTCCGTGTGGCCTCACAGCTCACTGAGACGCTCTCCATCCACTCCTGCTCAGAGAGAGTCAGGCTGCTGCTCCAGCTGTACAGACCGTCCTTCTCCAGGAGCCCAGCGCTGCTCTCCTGAGACCTGCTGCTCCCGTCCACCTTCCAGCTCAGGCTCCAGTCTGACGGGAAGCCCTTGCTGGCCACACACACCAGTGTCGCTGTCTTCTTTGAGGAGATCTCTGCACTGGAGGGCGGCAGGACGCTCACTTTAGGACGAGTGGCGCCTGACAAACACACAACAGTCAACTCAGTGAAGAAGAAAGCATTTCTCTCCTTTCAGCTTCAGAACAAATATATGAACAATTAATACAGTGATAGTCATTTTAGCAACATTAAACTTCAAGTCACCAGAATGAACTTTTACAAAGCCTGTGATCAGCAAAGCAACGAATGTTTGGTGAAATATATTGATATATTGAAGAGTCATTATCATTATCACATTTAATATTACTTTGATTAAAAGCATGAAAGATCAGATGTAAATAAACAGACCTGCAGGAATTCATTACAATTTTTGATGACAGCATGAGAAAATCGGGTACAAAACATTGCTTTAAAAATAGACAATAAAACAAAATGTCTGACATGTGTACTATAACTTTAAAAATAACTTATTCAAATATTATCGTTAACAAAAAATACAATTAAGCAACTTGCAGTTTGAAAATATCTGCAGGCTAATTAAAAATCAACACACTAATCAGAAAATGTAAGTTTAATTACTTTTTTAATTATCTTATTTTATTATCTTTTTTAATCATCACTTAGTAAAATCAAAGTGGTGCCAAAATGACAACCTAATGTAAATTTTATTTCAGTGCATTTAGAATTTAATTATCAATAAATATCAAGTTAACAGAAATGATTATAGTTCACTGGATGAAATAAAAAATGCCATGACAATCAAAACCATTTTTACAATGTTGACTGCCAAACATTCAATGTGAACTAAAAATAAAAAATAGATATATAAATATAAAAATAGATAAACAAGCATGCATTTCTATAGAGCAACAATGCATTTAACAGTCAGCGGTTGTATTAATAATATTAAATTATGATTGACTTACTGCCAACATCCAGTTTGGTGCCGCTGCCGAAAGTCCACCACAGTGATAGAAACTAATAGAACAGCTGAACAAAAACCTCCTGAACGCTTCACTAACTGCACAAACACACATCAACTGAGTCTCCAACAAACACATCCACTCACAG